GGAGAGGAGCCCCGCGGCTGCTGCGGAGCGCGGTACGGGAGGAGAGGGGGCAGAAAGGCACGCGGCAGTGAGGTGCCAGCTCCCGGGGGGCGGTGGGCACCTCCACGTTAGGCTTCTAACAGCAGAGGACGGTTTTAAACACTAAAAGTCATTATTAGAAGCCAGAAAGTGGGGTTGCAGCTTAGATGCAGGAGTTCCACAACAGCCCTGAAAGCCCCTTTATTATCTGAGCAGCAATACTTCAATTCTCTCTTCCACTGGACAAATAAAAGGTAGCAGAGTGATTTCAGAGGAAAGGTAAGTGATGACAACAATAAGCTTTTTAGGAAGCAACAGGACATTAGTACAAGAAATTACAAGTATAAAGACCCACAATCGAAGGGATGTCTCCAGGGAATGGAAGGGCAGAGGTATAGGAAAGCAGTCAGAAGGAGGCATTTCCCAGACTGTTCTTCGTATTAGTCTTTTCAGGAAGAGCACACTGGAGCACGCAGGAAAGTGAGAGGTCAAGGAAGGTGGTAAGAAAGAGAGTGCTACATGCTCTGAGCAGACACCAGAGGTGAGAAAGAGGTGTTTATCAACCCGCTGCCAGAACCTAGGGCTACAGAGCTCAAACCCCAGCCCCAGGACAAGTCCTACTGCACACGCCCTCCAAGATAGGATACTCCGAATTGTGGCCTAGAGCACAATAGTGCAGATAGGCCTGGGAGTTACTCAGTCCAAGGCAGATCAGAGGCTCTGCAGGAGCTGAAAAGGGTTAGTAACAACAACCTTACCCAAGCATCTCCATAAAACCCTCTTAGGGTGTTCACAGAGGGCAGCCCAGGTTGTGCAACTACTCAAGCTAGCGATCTTGCTACGGAACTTAGGACTGAGCAGCTTCAGCATGCTGTTCTACCCCAAATGATCCACACCCCAGAAAAGCACAGGCATTTCCTCTTATGCTGGCCACTCACCGTATTTTAGTTCACAGATCTGACTGTCTTTCTTCTTTAGCTTCTCGCAGATCTTTTCCACGGGGATGTGATGACTCATGGGCTTTGATACCTCGTTAATAATTTTGGTGGCTGCATCACTTGTGGCCCCGATATAATAGCACTAGAGGGGAGAAAAGAATGAGGTAGGCATGCACAGAAAAATTTGCTTCTGAAAGGAGTATTCTGCCCATCTCTCCTCACTTGGTTTTACTGCTACCAAACCTTTCCAAGGGACTGCTGAAGATGGGCAAAAGGAAGCCTAACACTGAGCCCAGAGTGCTGAGCAGATGCTTCCCATCACACTGCAGTTAAAGCTGTGCAGACTGGTCATCTCTTTCTCAGCTTTTTGAAAAATGGAACTGGATTAAGAGTAGTTTTCTTTGCTCAAGGAGGAAGACTTTCTGAAGTGCTCCTCTCTGATGGTATCTCTCTGAAGTTTTCTTCTGAGGAGAGCTCAGGACCTCTTCCTTGGGACTCTTCATTTGCAGACTGCCCTCTCTCTTTTATTAGGACAATTGGGGGTTTCCTTTATTTACTTTTCAGGTAAACAGCCAAAGAACATAAATACTTTAGCAGCTTGTATAGCACCCCAAATACAGTTTAAGTGACAAGGAAGCCCTACAGCAAGTAAAAGCTTTGTAATCCCCAGCACTTCAGTAACAGGGAGAAACAAGGTCAGCCAGTTAAGATGTCTGTTGACAGATTGGGGGTTTTAGGGGTGGGAGCAGTGGGTTTAAGGTGAAAAGGTTGAACATCTCTTATATAAAAAATATGGGACTAATTGTGCCCACAGAACTAGGAAGAACTGGAATCCAAATCATCCAAACTCAGAAACACCAGTTTCCCTGCATTTGCCAAGTATTCTACAACTTACTGCCTCACGAGGCAAGTATCATTGAATTGTACTACTCACCAGGCGATTCTCTTTGCCTTTTGCTTCTTTGCAGGATTTCAAGAGCTCCTTCTCAATACTGGCAGGTGTGAATTCAACATCGTTGTCCTTTAGACTCTGGTAGAACCTCCCCAGGAACACGACGCACACTGGAAGGGAAGATGGATGGAGTTACCTGCCACTGCAGTAATCTCATGGCAGCTCTTAGAGGGCACTCGCAGGGAAACAGAATAAGGGATTTGGAGAACAGAACTTCTAGAAGCTGCATTAGCAGTCAGTGACTTCACACAGATGTCAGTAAGTCTTTCAAAGCACGTGAGAATCAACAGTGTGCCCTGGTATTTTTGGTGGGGTTTTGACCATCTGAGAAACCAGGTCCATGGAAGCATCCAGTGTCTGCACACTGTCCTGAGTGAGCAGCAGGATCCAGCTGAGGGGTACAAGACAAAGCAGTGTAAATAATTCTCACTCTTATTGCCACTGCTTTGGGAAAGAACTTGTCAGATGTCAGGCTTCAAAACCAGTTGTGATTGAAAAACAGCTCCCTCTACATAATCCCATTAGACTCCATGTGTGCTGTTTTTATGGTGTCACTGGTTATCAAGTTGGTTCAGTTCTTAAGAAAAACAAATTATGTGATCACACGCTGTGTCCACTTGATGCGTTTCTCCTCTTAAGTCCCACAGGCTTCTTAATTGGTTTCAGACTGAAAGAAGAGTCTTACAGATAACACAACTCCCACAAGCACACCAGCAGTTGAGGACAGATCCAAGCTCCTGCCTGTGGGGAGGGCACATGCAACATGGTCATCATACTTCCCTTTGGCTGCTGTCACTCTGCACACTTGCAGACTAAGCACAGCACTGTGTGCAGCAGGGAGGAGGGCAGATGCCTGTGGCAGCCACAGCACACAGCATCTGTGTGACAGGGTCACCGAGGGACGCTGCGAGTTCGCCAAGTGCCAGATTTCGCTTTCTGCTGCTCACACCCTTGCCTGTGAACATGGGCATCACCTGGACTGAGAGCTCCATGGCCCCACCAGTTCCTGCAGAGGGGTCTGTGGGGTCTCACCACATCCAGAAAGAAGTGCCAGGCGCTGGCCTACCTCTGAGGGAAAGGCACAAGTTATGTCTTCGGTGTGATTTGTTTACCCCAACAGGGAAGGACTTGCAGATACTATTGTCATTAGCAACTGCATTCAACTCTGAACACAAGCTGTGGCACAGGAGTTGGGCTGCTACAGGAAATCGAATATGACCATCACAAAACCAAGTAGAAACTTAACAGTCACTATATTAAAACTATCAGCTGGGCCATTGATGAAAATATTCTTTTGCATACACCACCATTGTTTACCTCACATGGGTCTGTCCCCTGTCACAGACACACACTGATGTCCATTGTGCACTGTTTGGAAGTGAAAACCTTTGGAAAGAACAAAGATGCTGCAGGCAGTGGTACCGATGGCTACAGGACAGTAGAAACACTTGTCCAACCTAGTGCCGGGACAGCAGCTGAAAGTTTGATTTCCTGTGTTCCCTCCCCCTCCGTCTTAATGTTTCTCTCCCTACAAAAAGGAGGGAGGGATGAGTATTAGTACCACAAACTCCCAACCAGTTGCTATAGCCCCATCTCAGGTGTTTTTGTTGCTTCCCCTGGGGAATCGGTTCTGTTCCATCACGCAAGAGCTGTTTAATTCGCTGCACAGCTCAACAGCTTCCACCCCAGAGATTTTCGTATTTAGGTGGCAGGTAAAGCCCAGTTCGATGGAGGCCGGCTGAGCACCGCTCCTGGCGTTACACACTAAAGAGAGGACGCCCCGTGCTCCAGCAGGCAGGGGCGAAGCCGAGGTAAACGTAATGCTGTGGTGAGCAAGTGGGAGACCCTGTGAGTGGCCGCACTCGCTGTCCCGTAGCAGCTGCCTGCCTGGGCGCTCCGATCACCGTTTCCCGGCTCGGGAGGCGGGCGGGGAGATGCCCCGCGCCGCGAAAGCCGAGGCGCCGATATCCCCGCCCGAAGAGGAGACGATCTGGTCTCCCGCGGTCGGCGCTTTCCCTTCCCGCGGGAGCGCTGCGCTGGCGCTAACCCGCTTGAGAACAGACTGGCAACTTCCCGAGCGGAGGTCCCGGCCCCGCCCGGGCCAGCT